TCTGTTCAAAATCTGTTTTTCCGTTAATCAGCTGTCGCCCCCATACGAACGACAACTCTCAGAAGTTGAGAAACTTGTGCGAGCTAAGGACTAACGAGGTCTTACCTTTTAATGTGTGATTCCTAACACGGTTGCAGAATCATCCCAGTTTCAACCAGATGAAGTCTCTCGAGAAAAATATCTGGTCGAGGTGGTAATCGAACCCACGGTCTTCCGATCGTGAGTCGGGCGCACTACCACCGCGGCCAATTCCACGATCAATCAATTGTTTGTAAAAGGGGAATATGTGAAAAAGATATAGTGGCTGATGAGGTTCAGAGTGTCTTGGGACTTATGGTGTTCCGTTTTGAGGACGGATATGGTTGAATGTCTGTCTGTTTGTTAGATATTGGGATTTCAGTAAATTGATTGGGGTTTTGGACATATGATTTGAACTGTTCAAATAGTAGTTGAAGGGTATTTGCAGAGTATTTGGCAGGGAGTGTGTGGGAGATACATATGACATACAATGAAGACTATTCAGCTGGTAGTTGGAGGATATTTGAAAGTTATATAGCGAGAAAGTACGTGGAGGGTGGTGAAAGCTGTGCTGGGACTAAGTGGGATGTTTGGTTTGTGTATTTTTGAGAGACCATACATATATTGGGAGTGTACGAGGAAATTTTCCTCTTAATATAAGAGATTCCTCTTCTTCGATGGAAATTTTGATGAGAACTTTGGTCTTCTTATTGAGGTATGTGAGACTTCTCTGGTATTGGTTGTTATTCCGTCGAGTCGAGCAATGTCATCTTGTCCATGTAGTTTGTAGACACCTTTGTCTGCAACTCTTCGCATTATCACTTGATAATCTCATTATCTGGATTTACACGTGAACATTTAAATGATGCATATTTGTACTGAATGAAAAAAAGAACTGGCAGTTAATTGAATGTAAACAACTCCCAGTTCCATTGTGTTCAGTGGTATTTGGCATAAAATTATTTTGAGTTCAACTAGTACTATAATTATTGCGTTGTCAACATTTTATCCGGAAACTCAACGACGTAGCGTAAGGGTAGTTATCTGATTGGTCAGAGTTGGAGTAACGGATTCTGTCTTTCATTATTAATTAAAATGATATTCGAAATACGGCTGAAGTTTTGAAATAGATTTTTGAGAAAAATTCCTCTGTATTTATCCAAAATTGTGTTGACTTGTTATGACTGGTTTCAAAGCGACAACTTTGCTTCACATAATGAAACAAATAAAATTATACATCCTGTACATCAAGACTGATTTGGACAATAATCTAGGAATGAAGCTGTTTCGGAATTTTACATAATGAAAAAAGTTTTTAGATACAACTTCAAAAAAACAGGTACATGTAAAGGTTGTCAGAGTGGAACTGATACATCTCGTATATTATGGATATATGTTTTTCGGGAATCATGATAATTTTTGAACTCAGTAAGCCGATTTGCTTGAAAAAGCTGAATTTGCTTTGAACTCAAGTAAATCTTCAAAAACTATCCATAATCAAAAAAATATACCGAGTTAGTCGAAGTTAAAGTGCTGAGGTGAATTGAGGCACATTGTATAAATGGCATATTGGAATAATAATCGATCGACTATAATTCAATTAGTCAATAAATCTAACTTACCACACCAATAGCTTCAAGTGCGAATAACACAGTTCCAAAAAAGAGCGGGTAGTCTTTATAATTTCCAAAGGGTTCTCTGTTCTCCCACACGATATCTTGTTGGACCATATAGTAAAAAATAAGAGCAAAACTGATGACAGTTATAATGTTTGCAACGGACGAAACTGGAGCTAAGAATTTCAGATTCTTCACGTAGTTTATAAGTATCAGAGGTAGGAGAAATATTAACATTATCCATCTTGCGTCAACCTCTATGTCATTTTCTTTCAAAACTAAATGAATATTCTCGCCAATGAATACTGTATAAACTGTTGTAGTGCCCAACTGGAATAGCATGAGGAAAAAATTGACGATGTGTCTGAAAAAGAGAAGAAATTATAGAATGGGTTTTCTGTAACTGAAATAAAAATTTTAAAATTTTAAGTATGAGATAAAACTTTTAGACATCTTTTCCATCGTTAGCATAGAGCGGCATGGATACTGTCCAATTTTGGTATATAATAAAAAAAGCGATCAACAGAGTTGATCGATTGCTGGATTTTTTTTCTGAAATTTGTTCCAGTTACTATGTTGAAAACAATGAACTTGACCATCAAACTCTAGGTTTTTTATTGGAGACTTTGTAAATAGTGTAATATCTGGTCATTATATATCACTTGTATAGTCTATCCATTCCCAATTGGAACGGCAATAAAAATAAGAGTACAGTCTTAAACATTTCTTGCCTGTGGCCCCTAGTCACCCAGATAGTTAGTAAACGTGCTATCAAATGTAGTTGAGGAGTAAAGGCTCGGCTAGCTGGACTGGCTGAATACTAATTTTTTGTCCGTTTCACAATATTTCTTTATCAGTGCCGTGTGTTCCTGGGGTTAGGTGAGGTAGTGTGTGGTTTTGAAAACCGATTTTTGAAAACTTTTTCCAAAGATCAATTACCCTAACACCAAACTGATATTTTTGCACTCGACGCGCGTTTCGCTAACAAGGTTAGCATCTTCAGGAGAAGCAAATTGATACTGAATCTAAAGACAGGGGATAGCTGTTTATATACCTAAAGTTTTTTGGTCCGATGTGGACTTTGTTAAATGATATGTACCACCGAAGGTGGTACATATCAGAAATGCGCGACAGACTGTGGCTGTTCATCGTTTTGAGGTTCAACTCAGTACAACTCGAACTCCACTGTTTAAGAACTCTTTCATTTGGAGAACGGCTTTTATGTGAAATAAACTTCCTGAGAACGTTTTTTCAAATGGATTTAACCTCCAGCGATTTCCTGAAACTTACAGACGTATCTGTTCTATGTGTAAATTGCGTAGGGTCACATCCGGCAAATAGCACGTATTTTCCGGTGTATAAAGACAAGATAACGGAGTGAAAGCTTCGAAGAGAGACAGTCCACTATGAAAAATTCACTAGAGAATTTCTACCACAAAGAAAAGCCTGAGGAGGGAACACCAGAAGCCCAATGCATAGGCTGGACCAGGAGAACAATCCAGACGCGCGTCCCATTCGTTGCAACAAAAGAAGAGACGGAAGTGTTTCCCTCCTCTGCAGAAATCAGCATATTGATTAACATTGAGGAAATGTAGATATCGCTGAGCGACGTCTCCTAAATTGGAGGCGCAGGTCCTCTTGAGAATTGGATGGCTTTTGTCACGTTTCTGTAGAACTTTGATGAGTATAAGTCCTAAAATGTTCTGTAGAGTTAAGTAGCTCAACTAGTTTGCTTGAACAGTGCAAAGGTCGTTCTCAATTCATACAAAAAACTTGATACGGGTATGAACATTTTTGGCCCTCTCGTAAAATTTGAGTATAAGCATAGGCAGAAGACACAAACCTTTTCAACAAGAAATGTTTAGCCCGCCTACGGAGGAACCGAGAGGGATATCTTCTTTCTCTATTCATTCCCAACTGAAACTAATGTTATGAGATACATAATGATATGTTTTTTTTTCATATTTGGCCATTTCTGAAGGTGGCTTCGAACCATACTGTAGGATTTTGAATGTCCAGTTTGTATTATCCTATCTGTGCTAGGGATTCACGTTAATAGGAAAGATTTTGGTGAACCTCAGCTCGCACAAGTTGCGAATTCTTAGGGTAGTTATTTGTGGGTGACAGCT